CCCTCTACTGGGAAGTGGTTCGTGAGCACGGGAAAGGCCAACCTGCTGACCCCCTGGCGGACACCCTACGGCGCCAGCATCTTCCAGGTGTGGGGAATGTGGGGTTGGGGATCCTCTGGGTGAGGCTGCCCAGAGCTGCGCAGTACCACCCACTGTAAAAGTGTGTCAGCCCCAGAAAAAAACTCACCCCTGCCCCGAGTGCCAGGGAGTGGGGGTAAAACTTTGCTTTGGGGCTGCTGCTTGTGCTCACCCCTGCCCTGTTCTCTGCAGTCGAAAGAAACCTCCTCCGTCCTCAGCTGTGATGTCTCCACGGATGACCAGTTCATCGTGACTGGCTCAGGGGACAAGAAAGCTACAGTTTATGAGGTCATTTACTGAGCACGAGAGGTGCCAACTGCGGGACAGGCAGGTGTCCAGGTGGATGGAGGGGTGGACTCTACCTGCCAACTGCTGACTTCCCAAAGAACACACAGCCCAGGCCACAGCATCCCAGCCAGAGCAGAGTGGAGAGGGTGGAGGTGCCCTGGCACCGTGGCCAGGTGTCATGCAGGGCTGGGAAGGTGGCAGCTGCTGCTCACAGTGGATTTTTCTGGGGACTTTCTCCTTGGTTTGTTCTTTGTCAGTTTATTTCTAAACCCGGACTGCAGGAGTTGGAGGGGTGGGAGGTCTGGCATCGTTAGGGGTTTTGTTTGGGTGTTTTTTTAATTTTTAACTTTTTGTTGTGGGTTTTTTTGTTTTGTTAAGGCTCTGGGCCTTGGGGCACTTGGGCTCTGGTCACTCTGTGCCTCCCAGGGTGTATTTAATAATAAAAACAAACCAAAAAAGGCAGCTCTGCCTCGTCCTGGGCAGCAGCCCAGTGCTCTGTGGTGGTAGGATGGGTGAGACTGCAGGGGCAGGAGCCTCGTTCCCTTTGCCCAGCACAACTTGGTGTACAGGGCAGGTCTGTGCCCCATGGGGAGCAGTGGGGACCAGTGTGCCTGGCTGTGCAGGAAGGGACTGGAGCACAGCACTGGCTGTGGTGTCACCGCCGGAGCAGCCTTGGTCTCTGTGGGGTGTGGGCGCTGGAGGAAGTGGTTTTCAAAGGAAATGAGATGTGAGCAGTCAGTGCTGCTCTCGGTCTGGCCTCCTGCCAGCTCTGCCTGGGGCAGCAGAGCTGTTCCCCAGAGCCCTGGGGCGCTGGCAGGGCAGCAGGGTGACACCTGCGGTGGCACAGCTCCTGCCCCAAGACCAGCCTCGGGCCACAGCTCACCACATCAGCCCAGAGCCAAAGCTGCAGCTGCAGCACAGCTGAGCTGGGACTGCTGGGGCATATGGACAATCCAGATAGGAGCAGCTCCACCACGCTGGGAATGTCCTTGCCCACACTGCTGGCCAAAAGCAAAACCCCCAGGCTGCGCCCTGGGCACGGTTGGCAGTGCTGGCTGGGGAAGGTCTCTACCCATGAGCTTATCATTAAGGGACTGAAAACACAGTTAAATACGTTTCTTTACTGATAATTTACAGTAGTTTCCGCAGCAGAAAATGGGTGGCATTAAATCAGGAGCAGTAACTCAGGAGACACACACTGTCAGGCCTTGTCCAGCTCCCCGTGCTGCCAGCCCAAGGGGGAGAGAGAGATTCCAGGATGCCCAGCCCAGCCCCTGCCCAACCTGGGGGGGATGCTGAGCCCTCACCTACAACTTCAGGCAGAAACAGGCAGGGGAGCAGGGCTGGGGACGTGGTTTGGTGTCTGGGAGCAGAGGAGGAAGAGGGAGAACAGGGCTGTGGGAGGGCTGGTGTAGCACTGGAGGCCTTTGGGAGCCCCTGTGTCTTTGGGCAAGGTGTGGCCCCTTCCCTGATGGGCAAGGGATGGTGCCAGACAGGCCTTCAGGACACCACCTCCTACACTGTCACCAGAGCCCTTAACAATGAACTTGTCATTGACAGAGATGTCACAGGTCAGGACTGATGAGGACTCAGACTGAGGGTGTGAGAAGCAGGACGGGAGGGCAGGGCTGGTGGCTGGAGCCACCACTGTCCCCCTGTGCTTCCCCCACACCTGGAAGATGCTGGTTCCATGGGGTGTCCACCAGGCATGCAGCAGGTTCACCTTCCCCGTGCTCACAAAACACTTCCCTGGGGCAGAAGACAAAGTGGGTCAATGTCTGTGACTCAATTCAGGGGAGCTGACCATGGGGGAGGAAACCAAAAGGATCCACCTGGAGCTGTACACAGCCCAGGCAGAAGAAACAGTGCTCACTTACCACAGGAGGTGAATTTGAGAGAGAGGACACAGCTCTCGTGGAGGTGCAGCTGGTACTTGTCGGGTTTGGTGACGTGCAGGATCTCCACGTTGCTGCTCTCCATCCCCACCACTCCGCTGGAATGGAGTGGAAGAGAGGAATGAACAACTCGTGTGTGAGGCTCAATGCAGGAGTTGACCTCTCTGTTAGCCACACTGGAGCCAGATGGAAGGTGCCCGTTGTGCTCTGGCTAATGAGGGATGTAATTCCCCAGCTCCTTGTCAGCACCAGCTGCCAAGAACAAAATGTCAGGGTTGGACGCAGAAGGGGAGAGCAACTCCTACCCAGCCCTGCCCTGAGCCCTGGGGAAGGAGTCTCTCCCTGCTTCTGGCTCAGCCTCTCCCTGCCCACCCTCCCTGCAGCCCCAGCACTGCAATCACTTACAGTTTTCCTCCGGGGGTGGTGGACAGTGAAGATGAGATGGTGGTAGCCCTCAGGTGAGGGTGAGACTCAAACACCACCTGCACAAAGCAAAGGGCACATGAGGAGGAGCAGAGGAGAGGCCGTGAAGGTTGGGCTCATGCCTTTCCCTGCATGCCCTGGCTCTGTGCAAAGTCCCTGCTCGATGTGTCCTCCATATATAAGTGACAAAGGCCAAAATGGGCTCCCACAGACACAGCTCTGCACCAGTGGGACCAGTAGGCTCTTCTCTGCAGCCTCCCCCAGCCCCACACCCCCTCTGCCTCTGGAAGGGAGACCCTCCTACAGCTGCACCACCTGGCTCGAGCCCCAGGTGCTCCCCACCAGGAAAGCATCAACACTTGGGTGATGGCAGCACATGATGGCCATGGTGGACAGGTCTGATTTTGGGGAGCTCTGCTGATGGGGGAATGTCCTGCCTCCCTGCAGCCCAACCCCATGGGGTCAGAGCATCCTGACCATGCCCAGACACTCACCGCCGGTGTCGGTGGTGGTGGGCACCTTGGCAGGACACTGCCCGAGCAGGATGGCCAAGCTGGGCCCAGGGCTGTGTGTGAAGGAGTCGTGGGGTGGTGAGGAAGCAGAGGATTTGGAGGTGGGAGCAGTGTCCAGAGGGTCAGTCTGTGCAGCAGAGGAAAGAACAGCCTCAGTGGTGGGAGCACTGCCCGGGAGAGCCTTCCTCAACATCTCAGGTGTGCCAGGAGCTTCTGAACCCTGCAGAGGGGAAAGGAGCTCAGGAGGGGAGAGGGCATCCCTCTCCTCCTTTGCCCCTCACACTGTGCCCATGGCATGGGGCAGCATCCCTGCAGCATCCTTGCTCCCCCCATGGATGCCAAACTGCCACAGCCCTGTGCCCCTGCAGTGCCCACCACCAACACGAGGCCCCACATGCTCCCTCATGCAAAATTCCCCCTGTGTGGGGCAACCCCATCCCCAGCCTGGACCAGGAAGATGCCTGGGATGAACTGGCCTCTCCAATCCCCACAGGTATTTTATTCCTTCCTTTTTTTTTTCCCCTTGCCTCCTCTATTTCTTTGGCTTTTTCTGTCTGGGGATTTTGTCGACACCAGCAAAGGAAAAAAAAATTAATAACAGAGAAAAGCTACGTGCTGTGCTGGCAGATTGCTCAGGGTGCTTTGTCTGCTCTAATCCGATTGTGCCGGGAGCTGCTGCCC